CTAAATTAGCGAACGTGGGACTTTCATCATCCAACACATCTTATTGTATGTCAGCCACATACATTCCAAACTACACAGATAACGTGAATAGTTCTAAACTTTAAATGAAAGAATCAAAATTATTACTAAAGGATTAAATCATGAATTACAAGACCACGCCTTTCATATTAACCTGTCTACACATCATTAATACACATCTTGAAGCCATAACTCGTGATCGTTTAGAGCTCATCTTCCATCGATAGGTATTTCCAACGCGTCGACCACACGTCCAAGCATAGCCTTTCCCGATCTATTTGTTTAACAAAATTTGATATAAGGATAATAAGAACAAAGATAGAACCAAAACTTGAATATTTAATTATAAAGAACCAAATTGGAAAATTATAAAGAAAATGAGACGAATTTGGTAAGGATCTAGGTTCTTCTCTAGATTATTTACATCATTTTGGCCGCCTCCATTCATTTTTTTATTGGATCATGTTCTTAAACAATGTATCATTTTATAAACTAGATTCAAAAAAAGTTGAGATAAGACCAACTTTCTTTATATATATATATATATATTTCAAAATACTAAAAAAAGAAATCATTTTAATACTTAGATAGCTACAAAATTCCGTTGGTGAGTGATAAGATCTGTATTAATTTAAAATTGGCGATAGAGATGTCCATGTTACCTACGGGATTAGGGTTTCGTAGGGATCTATCTCGAACAGAGAGAGGATTCCTCATTTAGACGGAGAATGTAGAGGGAGTGGAGAAATTTTTTTTTCCCGTCAAATAAATAGGGCCCGGGACAGAATCAGATTCCTCGTCTCCGTTCCCGCCAAATTCTCCACCCCACTTAATATAAATATATTTTCAACACATATTAAAAATACATACGTGTTTTTTGGCTATATTAAAAAAATGAGTTAGTTAATTTTGAGGCTCCGATGATAATGTTTAAACTAAATACGATGTTGTAGGTTTTTTTAATTGGTAGGCTATCTTATAATATTAAAATTTGAATTTTTAGAAATTAATTAAACCTGAGCATGTTTATGAAATATATTAATTTATTAAAATTTTGTACCATTTTTTAATAAAGATTATATTGAAAAATCAAAACTTTAAAATAACTATTTTTTAAAAATTGAACCGATAAAAATTACCTATGAAGAATCTCCTCTTATGATCCTGTATAAATAAATGAAAATTTTCACAGAAATGGAGAATAAATAGGTGGCAGGGACGAGGACAAAAAAGACTTCCCTGTTCCTATCCCGAGCCGTGTATATCTCTAGCTAAGTGGTAACGCAAGCAAACAGACAAGTGAAAAGACAAAGCTTAGGTATGTCGACAAAAGTTGAGGAAGACATGGAACATGGTTCTTATCCCAATTTCCAAGTGAGTTTACACGACAAAAGTCAATAGATTGGACTTTGCTACTTCACTTATTTTACAAGCATTGTCCCTATCATCCAAACCACACCAATTACCAATTTAGGCTCACCAAACTTCTCAATTTTTTTCTTAATTTGGGGGTAATTTTGTCTTTGTTTGTAAGGAGAAAACGATATGTTTATACGGGTCGATGATGATTTTTGGGTAGGAGGTTGCCTTATTCTTTCTCGAGCACTAGTCCACGAAGGGCGAGAAAAAGGAAGTGGAGAAAATACATGTGGGAGAGGGTTGCTTACTTGTAACACTCTTCAACATTTAAGTCAGATTAGAGATTCGAATCTAGAGTTGAGCTAATAAATTTTTTGTACGTTGCAATAATGGAAAAATGGTGCATGTTGGATTTATTGAATCTACTATTCATATAAGATTACAGTTTAAATTGGGCAGGATATATAGCAGCTAATTTTTCATACATCTCGAGCTGTCTATCAAAAAGATACTTTGAAGGCTCCAAGATCGAGGTATCATTAGCCGAAGAAAATCCTTGCCAACATTACGGAGACATTGTAAATTAGTCTGCGGGTATTGCAATCAATCTTATATCCTACTACAGGCGCTGTGAAAACATTAGCCTTAGAAATACATATTTAATTGAATCTTCAAGTGTGCTTTAAATAAAGACCGACTATATATGTTACCGGGGAGATTTTATCTTTCAATTTGAATTCTTATCACTAGTCTTTCGAGTTTCGACACTTCAAATTTCCTGTATTAATATCGGTTGAGAGTGTGCTTTCACTAAACAAAACTTTATTTCAAAAAGGGTTTTCGTGCATAGCATACACACATTTCAATGAATCATATCGAGTTTGGTGCTCAATGAGTCATCGATACTCACTCATTCTCATCGACGTGACTGCAACACACATCATTAGTGACATCCATTTGTTGTATTCGATGAGTAACAATTTGATTGTTTAGGATTCTATGCCAACTTGAGCAGATACATATTAGTTTATTAGGAATCACGAACCTCTGCAATGCATATCTATTCATAGACCCACACATGATGTCTCTATCCTGATGAATGCATCTCGACAATATACCAGGAACTCAGTTCTAAAGACGGGGGCAAGCCACGGGCCTTAGTGGCGGCGACGAGATTTTTTCCCATAAGCAACACCCATGTTTTGATCGCAAGGTGAATTGTGAAGTCTCACATCAGTTAGAGGGAAACGAAGCATCCCTTATACGGGTGTGGAAACCTCTCCCACTAGCAGACACATTTTAAAACCTTAAGGGGACGCTCAGTAGGGAAAGCCCAACGTAGACAATATCTATTAACGGTGGACTTAGATTGTTACGCTCCAACTCGAAAAACTCCTCATCTAGACAAAAGAAAAAGTTCAATAAAGTTATCAAAAGCTCATGGCGGCTCAGCATAACAATATAACTTTTATCATACTAGTGCTTCAAAAGATCTCAGCAGGTGTGTGGAACAAGAGCCCAGAGTTGAATTTGGATATACCTTTTGATCCAGATATAGACGAGACGAGTTGTAGGATGATCGTTGAGGTTGTGAGGGCTCTCAACGACATGAATAGTTCAATATGCTTATCAACGTATATACGTCTCTATGCTCTATGACTTAATTTATTTAACCAAAAAGACTTGAAACTGTTGAGAATTGTTGGGAGAGAGTCCCACATTGGCTAATTTAGGGAATTATTATGAGTTTATAACTAAGGAACACAATCTCTGTTGGTACGAGATCTTTTGGGCTTCCCCAAAACAAAGTGATGAGAGTTTATGCTCAAAGTTAACAATATCATACCATTATGGGGAGTCGTGATTCCCAACATGGTTTAGAGTCATGCCCTTAACTTAGCCATGCCAATGTCAAACAAAGAAGTTTGAGCCTCAAAATTTAGTCAAAAGTGACTCAAGTGTCAAATAAATAGTGTAATTTCTTTGAGAACTCCAAAGAAGGAGTTGAGCCTCGATTAAGGAGAGGCTGTTCGAGGGCTCCATAGGCGGAAGGAGTCCCACATTGGCAAATTTAGGAAATGATCATGGAAAAGGGTGTCGGTACCCCTCCTTACTCCTAATTGAATCACCGAAAAGAAAGATGCACACATCTTATTAGTATAGATAGTGCATTAGTTCATTTAGGTACCCTCCTTTACTCATGTGTCATATAGTTTCAAGTCGATCGTACTCAAATTTTTAGCTCTTATGATTGCGTCGATTCATTCATGTATCTCTTTCAACCTGAGAATGGAAAGAGTACTTTTCCTTATTTAATGGAAAAGAAAATTCCCTACGAGAAAAGGCCAAATTTAAACCATAACCATTCTTTATTTTGTTCTTCTATGTTCCTTCATTAATAAAATGGGTTTATATAGGATTGAAAAGAATAAAGAGACCTCCCCTATTCTAAGGTTAGAAAATAATCCAACAACAAAATCTTTCTCAATAAGATTGGAATATGTCTTTTATCTTTTACTCTCTTTTTTAATGATTTAAAGGGTAATAGTTGATGTTACGTCAGGCAAAGAAGTGGTTGATACGAACTACCTTCATGAAAATTCAAAAAAGTGTTTATAAAACTTGTTTGATAACGGTTTGATTTTTAGTCTTATCACCGTTTCTCACAATAATTGATACGTCGAATAGTAGAGTCAAAATAAATTGATACTCTCACTTTAATTTGTAAAAACAGTGAAACCATGTCGAATCGTATAACCAAAGAATGAGCTTCTTTATTACAGTATCTCGTCTCGCCCTTACTAAGGACATCGTCTCCCTTATTAAAGAAAGTGTCGGTACGCCCTTAATAAGGGCATCGTCTCTCTTAGTAAGGAGTGTCGAGACGCCCTTAATAAGGACATCGCCTACCTCGAGACGCCCTTGATAAGGACATCGCCTCCCTTAGTAAGGAGTGTCGAGACGCCCTTAATAAGGACATCGCCTACCTCGAGACGCCCTTGATAAGGACATCGTCTCCCTTAGTAAGGAGTGTCGAGACGCCCTTAATAAGGACATCGCCTACCTCGAGACGCCATTGATAAGGACATCGTCTCCCTTAGTAAGGAGTGTCGAGACACCCTTAATAAGATCATTGTCTGTCACGAGACGTCCTTAATAAGACATCGTCTCCTTAGTAAGAAGTGTCGAGACACCCTTAATAAGGTCATTGTCTACCTTAAGACGCCCTTGATAAGGGATATCGTCTCTCTTAGTATATTACCTTGAGATTCCCTTTGTAAGGACATTGTCTCCTTTACTAAGGAATGTCGAAATGCCCTTAATAAGGATATTGTCTACCTGGTGACGCCCTTAATAAAGATATCGCCTCCCTGTTGACACACCCTTAATAAGAACACGGTCTCTTAATCTCTTAATGACAAAAGTGCGGAACATCATTACCCCTGATAAGGACATCATTTTCCTTAATAAGGAGTGTCGAAACGCCTTCAATAAAAACATTATTGGTGTCTGGCACGTGTTTTGAGCGGCGACAAGACACTATGCTTTCAGCTTTCGGGCTTATTCGCGACTTTGTTGCTCAAATTGAGTCAACCAAGCTCAAATGATTATAATAGGAAGAATGAACCAAGCATCCAAACCATACCCTAATTGCATACATACTAAGTTTATTCATCACTCTACAAATCACTTAAAGAGTGGACACCATAAAACCATACAAATTACAAACAAAACAATCCAAACCATAAACAACCATACATAACATAACAACCCTAAAACCAAACACAAACTCGTTGGACTTCAACCTTAAAACAACACGAAGCCCACTTATTATTGTACCAAACCCAACAAACTTCCCATCTTAACTATACCCGCCGCCGGTGCTGTAACGAGTTGCATCGCCGCCGCCGCCGACATTGGGGTTGTGGGCTGTCGTTGTCCTCCCAGTGCCAGTCTGGTGTCCGATCGGATGTGTCCCCACCACACCCTCCGTTACTTGGCCGGTCGGTTGCCCAGTTCCGTGTCCAGGCACGGCTGACATCTGCTGGGTCCCGGTGGTGTAGCCCTGAGCTCCGGTGGTTGAGTACGTCGCTGTCCCATGAGTTGTCGGGTGCATCCCGTGAGTGGCCGTCGCAGTTGTAGCCTGTTTCATGGCGGCGTTGTGTTCACGCGCCTCCTGTTTGTGGAGCTCCGCCTCATGAATTTTCGCCTGTTTCTTCTCTTCTGCGATCTCTTTGGCTAAAGGGTCACGCGCCGTCACTTTCTCCATCTATATAATCAGTAAAAAAAAGCATTATTCAATCAGTTTTATCTATTAAAAAAAAAAAAATTGGTTAGGAATAACAACACTCCACTATAGTAGAATATTGTTTACTTTGAGCATAAGTTATCGTAGCTTTCATTCGATCATTTGAAATTTCCCACGAGACCTCGTACCAATAAAGATAGCATTTCTCACTAATAAATTTATGATCTTCCACCGATATGAGTGGAAGGAAGTACACGATAGAGCCTCCCTTGAGGTCTACGTAGCCCTCGAATAGCCTCTTTTAATCGAGGCTCGACTCGTTTTGTTGGAGTCCTCGAACAAAATACACCATTTATTCGACACGAGTCACTTTTAGATACCTTTGAGGCTAGCAATTTCTTTATTTTCGACCCTTGAAGATTCTATTGACATGGCTCGAATAAACATGAACAAATATGAATAACGACTCCCCACAATCGAAGATATTATCCACTTTGAGTATAATCTCTCGTAGATTTACTTTAAATTTCTTCAAAATGTCTCGTATCAATAGAGATAATATTCGTGACTTATAAACACATTTGAAAGGGATAAGCTCAAACTATACCTTCTCTTGCACGGTGGCTTTGGTCTTATCCATGCCAGCCTTCGCCGAGGCTGCGACATTGGCAGCCGATTCCTTCATGGATTCCATTGCGTTCTTTCCTGATTGCATTTTTGAAGTTCTTCTTTGAATGCTCAAAGCTGCTCAATCTCGTATCTTATAATGCATTTTTATGTGAAGTATGGAAGCGACACGTGGAAGTGAGATTACACGTGGCAGTGGATTGGAGGCTGTTGGGTTACTGCGTGACACGTGGTGCTACGTGTCAGGATGTGAGGGATGTGATGAGGCAGTTTTGGAAGGTTTAAGAAGCGTACCTGTCTTTGCCTACCATTGGATTCTTTTGTCTCAAACATTTATTAAAATATTGATGTGGGTGTAGATATGAGTCACCATTTTAGTAAATGTGTGCACAAATTTGCTCCAAACTTGTCTTTCTTCGAGGTTTTGAAATTCGGCCTAATTATAAGCTTTAGAGAGGTAGAAATTTATCCTCTGATCTTGAGGATGTTTGGAGCAACTTACTCATCAGATTTGAAAGTTAGAAACTCCAAGTTCGTTTTCTAGACGATATATCGGACCAAACTTGTCTCTATTTATGGCTTCAAAGGTCGTCCTTGAGTATTTGTCATGATTTTTGGACCGTAACTCGAACCCTGAAGATCGTCCTTGAGTATTTGTCATAATGTTTGGACCATAACTCAAACAAATCATTCCCCTTTTCGACTTTAGAGAGGTAGAAATCAAAAGTTCGCCGCTTGTTCTTTTGTTCACGAAATTTGGACCAAAACTGGATAAACTAGTTTTCGTTCAAGGTTTAAAAAGTCCACAGCATAAAAATATCTCTTGAAGAGTTTGTTACAGTGTTTTGACAAAACCTCGAACAATTTGTTCCTTGAAGTAGAAATTTTGGAGTTTGTCCTGAGATTTTAACCAAAATTGGACCAAACTCGTCTCAAATCAATGTTTGGTGGGTTCTATATTTCAATGATAATGTTTGGAAAGTTCATAACACAATGTTTGTGGGTTCTGGGTTCTATATTTCAATGATAATGAAGTAACTTTGGCTCATGCATTGAAATGAAATAACATGCAAATTAGTTACTATAACGGCCCAAATCCACCGCTAGCAGATATTATTCTTTTTGAGCTTTCCCTTTCGAGCTTTCCAGCAAGACTTTAAAACGTGTCTGCTAGGAAAATTTTCCACACCATTATAAATGGTGGTTTGTTCTCCTCCCCAACCAACGTGGGACATCACAATCCACTCCCCTTTGGGGCCCAACGTCCTCGCTGGCACTCTTTTCTTCCTCTAATCAACGTGGGATCGCCCCCAAATCCACCTCCTTTGGGGCCCAATGTCCTTATTGGCACACCACCTCGTGTCTACCCCCCTTCGGAAAACAACGAGAAGGCTGGCACATCGTGCGGTGTTTGGCTCTGATACCATTTGTAACGGCCCAAATCCACCGCTAGTAGATATTGTCCTCTTTGGGCTTTCCCTTTCGAGCTTCTCCTCAAGGCTTTAAAACGTCAAATAGGGGAAGGTTTCCACACCCTTACAAATGGTGGTTTGTTCTCCTCCCCAACCAATATGGTACATCGAAGTTACCCTCTCTACCTACTCAAATATCGACAAAAAGGTCGAGATCTAAATATTGTGAAATATCGATGTTGAACACCATTAACATATAAAAATGTCGATGGAAGCATAATTCACCTGCAGGATGAAACTTTTTTAAGTGCTTACAAAACAAACACTAAAACTTATCACCCTTAAACAAGATATCAATGAATAATCTGGAGGTATTCCTAGCAAGCCCACCAACAAGATCATAGCAAGAGCTGTATGCATTAAAATCTTCCCATGATCACGATTCATAACCATAAGTCAATCCAGACAATAGTCGATAAAGTACGAAGTGTTTGCAATACCAAATTCTTATACATCTCGGCACATAAAAGTTGTGAAGTTCTAAGACATACTACAGATGCAGCTCATAGTAGACATTTAGAAAGTGGAGCCATTCCATCCGAAGTTCGACCCCTGCAGCAGCCAAAAGAAAGAGGCAAATATCAGGACAATTCCTGGGTTTTAGCATAAGACATTAGACGAAGCCACTGTGAAAATCGTGTCTATGAGTGATACGAATGCCTGCTAAAAAACCAATAGGAGTTGTGCTTTATTTGTTTCAAATAGAAAAAGATAATAGTTACATGATCTCTAGTTCTGGTGTAAAGCATGTAAACACTGTGCATATTCTTGACTCTGATGGGCCTAAACAAAAATAAGAAATGCAATGAGAAGTGACTACATGCATGCAAATAACCCATCCATCTTTCGGACAGCTTAAAAAGTTGGAATGGCTTGCCTTGGTGTCGTAAAATTTGAGGAAGAATCTCGACTTGGGCACGGATAACTTCGTCTCAAGAATTGCAGAAACTGCAGCACTCAGTTTTTTGTTGACATCAGGATTCAGACCCCCGATGGACACCAACTCGCCATATGCTGCTGGCTGCTCGCTACCACCAAATGACATGGGTACTGATCCCTTCAGCACAACCATCACATACTGCTTCCAGCAAGATGATCAAGTTAACACATAGGAAAGAACTTGACAAAATCCAATTTATTGGCAAATAAGCACACAATTTCCGTAAACATCGGCAACAAATCTCATAACTAGACTCACGCAGAACTTAATAACAGGCTGAATTGGCTAAGAAAACAATGTCTGGGATGAATAAAGAGAAGAAAGTACTCTAATGTACTAACTTAAAATTTACTGTCACAAAAAAAGCTAAGACCTTCACTGCAATCAAAGGGGAAAAAACACTATTTCATTCCATGGTGTTTCTTAAGACAAGGAAATCAAACTCCAGTGGATCTAAGAGAAGGTTGCTTGTTTCTGCGGCCCTTGCTTCCCTCCTTTCTCCTCTCCTTGTTATACAAGGCAAACATTTAAAAGAAGGTCAAAGTCTTTACTTGGCAGGTGCTTCATAGGGTGTTAATACTGTGGATTGGATTCGAAGACCTACATCCTTTGCCCCAAGACCACAGTGCCATATCCCCTGCAACTAGACATCTAAGGATCTAGGTCATCTGTTGTGGCAGTGCTAATTTCCTAGTCTAATTTGGAATTGAGGATTTTAGGGATGAGCTTGGCTCATAACGGAGACTATTGTCATATGATGGAGGGAGGTGCTGGTCCATTCACCCTTTAGGAAGGAGGCGAGCACCCTTTGGAGGGCTGCTTTTACGGGGTATCTAGCTACAAAGGAAATAACAGGATCCGACAGAGAGATTCAGGTAGGGGATTTGATACAAAACTAGGTTTAACGTCTCACTTTGGATGTTTGTATCTAACGATTATTTCAATTGTTCATTAGGTCTTATCTTAGTAGATTATTGCCCTTTCTCAGTTTAGTCTGCGTCCTTTGAAGGCTAGCTTTTTTTTTTTTTTTTTTTTTTTTTTTTTTTTTTTTTTTTTTTTTTTTT